GACACTGGGCAACCCCAACTGCTGGGAAAGAATATATGGAATGTGTATCTTTTCTGAACCTTTCATTACAGGGCTTTGGTAGTCAGCCACAGTGCTGCTGATGATGTATGATAAGCATGGAGAGCTCAGAGCAGAAGGGATTGGGAAGCATGAGATGTTGAGTCAGTTTATCTGGCCTTGTGAAATTGCATCTCTGGTTTAATTCATGATTCTTGTGACTAAATAACTCCTACCCAGTAGTGAGAGGTACAGAGAATTGTAATCACGCACAAATTCTACCTTGTCTCTTCTCCTGCAACTCTACTGTAGTCTAGCATCTGTATTTTCCTTACATCCATCACCAATTTCTGGAAACATAATCCTGAAAATCAACTTCTCTTGGACAAGGAGGAAGGAAGCAAATTCTTATTGCCTATTACTGATCTCTGCTGTTCAAATCAATCAGAGGTAGTCATAAGTCTGACTTTCTGAACACACCCTCATGGAAGATTTCAGAACTACCAAGAGACCCCCATGCTACTGTTAAGTAGATTATGTTACTTCCAAAGCCGACTTACTTCAAGTGGGATTGACATTTGAAAAACGAAATTTACTTTGTTTTTCAGGTTGATTCTTAGTGGAGAGTTGAATCCACAACTTCAGCAGCATTGCCAGTTGTGGCAGTCCAAACTAACATCTTACATAGAACAGCGGTGTAAAGCACAAACACATCATCAAACTGCCTCTGACAAAAATTTTCCATGTTTTCTAATTTCAAAGTAAGACCACTAATGTCAGTCTGCAGTGGCAGTTTTAGAGAAACTATGTGGGTTTTTGTTAGCTATGGAAAAGATATTTTAAAACAAGAAGCTTCTGGCTCAGCTCACCCTCATAAGGACAATCAGATTGGCAGCTTAGACTCCAAATTCACTGTTTTATAGAACAGAAAAAAATCTTGATAGTTGGCTGTAGCCAGAGCTTCCTTTACTGCTGGTTTCTGGCAAACATTTTCTGCTCTACTCATTTCCATCCTTTACATTTCTTTCAAAAAGAAGAAAAGTAAAACTGGTACCCTCTTTTTTTTCTCCACCTACTACAGCTACCTGGAAGTGCTAACTGTCAGTGTTGGTAAAGAAGAAACGTGTCAACTTTTTCGTTTGCCAGATTCTCACATTTTACTATATATGGGCAACTTTCTGTAAGAAGGTCCTATATGTTTCAATAGCTTGAGCTCAAAGCATTTTTGAAAGGAGTTGTTTATCATCCTCATTAAGTGAAAGGGGAAATGAAGCTTACAGTTGAAAAGTAGTTTGGACTTTGTCACTCTGACAATGAATTGTAGATGAATGCTTTGAACTCCTCTCTCAGCTCGGAGACCGATGCCTTCACCAGTCTGAACACTCTTTGTCACTGCTTTGTGACTTTTGCCATTCTATAAAAAGATGCAGGAAGTCACAAATGGAATAATAGTGATTTGCCATGGAAACTTCAGTGAATATTTCAGTGAAATGAAAACAAGTCACTGTGTATATCCAGACCCACAGAGTGTGACAACATTCCACCAACAAACATGTCTGGTGCCATCGGTTATCTATGACATCTACAGTGGAATGACGAAAAAAGAAACAGAATGTATGGGAGACCTGTAACCTTCTGGACTAGCATTTGAATGCCATGCAGGACATCTTGAGGCACCAAAACAAGGCAAAGTGCACTCATATTTAACTAACTGCATCTAGCTCATGACATTTACCTTTATATTTCCAGGATGCTGAGAAAGGAAGGGGACATAAAAAAATCTCATGTCCATGCTTAAATACAGTCCACAACTTATGTCTACAATATATGCTTTGTATAGCTAATGTTTGCCAAGAATCACCTCTGAGAAAAGACAGTAATTGTCCTAACTGAATCAGCTCTGGGCAAACTCTTACTTTACAATGAGAACCACTGCAACTGTACTGCCTCAGGGTTGGGGGGTTTTTTGTTTGGTTGTATTTATTTTTTTTTAGTGTTTTAATTATTAAGCATCTTTTACACAATACTGGGAGAAAAATCAAGCGAGGAAATGCCAGTTAGTCGATTGTCTATGCAATCTTAAATTATCTTCCTCATTTTACAATGAAAGCTTTAATTACATGAACATGGAACATTTATGTCACAAATCCCTTGCCTTGTTGAAGAAAGATTACGTGTAACAAACAGACAAGGCAAAGTTCTTGTCATGTTTTCAAGACATTTGCTGATACATTTTCTCAAAAATATTGTCTGAGAACCTGGACTTGATCTGTCATGCCTGTGTTCAGTCACACTGGACGTGATTCACCCAGAATCTGGTACCAGAGGATTAAGATGGCTTTTAAACCTGCATTCTTACATCTCCTGCCTCTGGCTCTTCAGTTTGAATTCAATAATTTTTTTTTTTCTTGACTTCTTTTCTAGCAAAAAAAAAAAAATAAATTAAGAGTTGTAAAGTCTCTGTCAAAATTATACAAGAAAGGAGTGTCACTGAGTAATTGAATTAATCTAATAGTTTAAAAACACAATTTTTTAAGCATCTGCTTAGTGAGGTTTGGAAATTGATCTGCTTTAATGACAAATTAAAGCCTAAAAGCCCTTTTATGTGAAGCTGGTGTTATTATGAAACCTCTTCACACACAGCAATGTAATCTTAATTACAACAGTTTTTCTTACAAGTAATGGAACTGGAATTTTGTCAAATACAGTTCTTTTAGACCATTAAACTATATGGTAGCATTAGGCACGTACATGTATTGTCACATTACTAAAATGTGAATCTTTGCCATCCTGAGTTTGCCCAATAATTATTTTTGTTTATCATATAGACTATAAAGCTCGGTAGGGCAGACATCAGCCTTCTGCCTTATGTTTGCACAGATATCCACCTAAAGGATTTAGGAATTGGTTTGTGAGACACCTCCTTCATCATAGTCCATACAGAAATTCATTTGTAATTCTCCAAAATACTTGAGCAGAGAGCATCATTATTAAACTTTTTTTGAGCCTGACTGTTCTGACTGTTCTAATGAAGCCTTTGAGAGGAATTGTTCAGCACATATCCATTGCTTTCCAATGGATCACATCCCCTCTTGCTTCTACCCATACTCTAAGAGACTAATTAAACTGTGCATCTAAAAGAATTGCACAGCTATAGAAGAATGTTTACTAAAGGACTAATTAGTGTATAAGTACCAACCACTGCTACAAGAACTGAAAAAGGAATTCATATAAAGGCTTTGTATTCATCTATTCTAGATAAAAACAGGTGTAGTGATCGTATTGGAATGGATGGCATTTGGCTTGTACAAAGCATAAGAAACCCTTTCTTGTGATACTGCTAGTTCTGGCATGAGAAAAGTTGCTTATTTACTGAGACCAAAGTCTTCTGAAACTGTGAGAGATTTGCTTCTCCAATTAGATATGCTTAATTTACTCTCAATGTACTGTTTGTCTGTAAGAAATGGCCCATCCACCCAGAAAAACTGTTTCTGTTTTGTAGAGTAAAACTTTACTGAATTTATATAGGAGATGTTCTGCATCAGCTGTCCAGTTAAAGATGAACAAAAGGACTGCGTTGTTTGCCAAGACCTGAGTTTAAGGAGCCTGTGTCTCCTATGCAATTGTTGATGGTCATTTTAGCAACCAAGTGGAGTGGGAAGCTGTATCCTTTGTTCTTCTTCAGAGCGTAAAATGTGAAGATTTATGTTTACTGATGCAATTTGCACTTGTATGGACAAAGATGAGGGGCAAGTCCATGTTCCTTCATTCACGCAGAAGAACTAAAATGTATCTCCTGGACTATTTTGTCTATATGACATAGCCACATATATTATTAGCACCAGCTGTGTTGCAATAGGACTTCAGTCATTGGCACCTCTAATAGATAAGAGCAAAGCAGTTTCTAGTTACTGCTTGTTAGGTATTAGAACTCTTATATGTGGTCAGATGTAGGACCATTTCTTTCAGGTATGTAAAAACAAATGCTCCAGACTTCTCTTTCCTTATTCCTCTTCCACCAATCTAATGCCAATTCATAGGCTGAGGCTTCTCTGGTTAGAATACTCCTGGTTAGAATTTGTCCAGGGGAAATATATCAGGAAAGCAAGGCCTGCATAAGCCATAACAAATATCATCAGAGAATAGGAGGTTCTGTAAGCATAAAAGTATCTTTTCCCTTTTGTAAATCCAAGTTTTTGACTGGTGAGGCTGTGAAGAATCGCAGCTACCTTCCCTATGACATCTTGGTCTGGGTTTGTGTCACAATAGACCAACACACCTTTCTCAGCAAGAACTTGTCTCTGGTTCTGGTATGTTCTATTCAGAAGTGATGATCTGGACTATTTTATCTGTCTTATACTTGCTATTTGTCTTTCAATCCCTTTCTTGTCTATGTAGAATTAGAGTGATCTATCTTCCTTAAGCATTTTTAGGTGTGATTCCAGAGCCTTTGGTGTGGAATACTGGTACATCTGTGCATCTCCTAAAGAGACTGGTAAGTAGAGAGAAACTTATCTGTATATTTCTTCCGTTAGTCCATTCCGATACTGAGGTGTGGAGCAGTCACTATATCATCATGAGATGAGCAATTAATGAGTAACCTGCTGTTCCCCATTAATTTCACATAGAAACAGATTTTTTCCTTCTTGACTCCCTTTTGTATATTGTTCTTCTACACATATAGAAAAGCATCTTCAAGGAATTTCACACTTAGTTTTTAAACTTCACAGCATTTAAATTGAAAAAGCTTGCCAACATTTTTATCATGCTGTTTATTGCATGGTCGTTAAAAATGATCTATGTACAAAACAAATGCCAAACTTCAAGACAATTAAATATTTGAAATGTTTCTTCTGTTACTTAGACTGGTCAAGGAATAATTAACATAGGCCTCAGTTCCCTCCTCTGTGACAAAAAGATATAATGAGGTTGTTTCTATGCATTCGATTTACTTATGCGTTTTAAAGTCTCTGTTACTTATTCATTTTTACTGTCTCCAATTAGAAAAGAAAAAAAATCCTGTCACATTGTGAAACAATAAGGTAAGGTCTTTAATCTGCACCTGATATCACATAATTTTTCAGAGTAATTGTTCTAAATTTTCTCTCTCACCCCGAGCATTCTTTCTTAAAAATTTGTTCTCTCATTAAAAAAGAAAAAAAATATTCATTGAGAATGCATTTTTAATACCAAATATACTTTTCAGCATGCAACTTAGTGATCTGCAGTACATCCAAGAAGTTCAGAATAGTCCAGGAATCTCCTAGTTGATTAACTCACCTAGTTGAGTTAAGTACAGTAGGGAAAACATATGTATTTCTGCTTATCATGTAAGCTTTGTTGAACAAATGGCATTATAGGTTTAATGCTAAAAATTAATATGGAATCAGAGCTCTTCCTACAAGGAGAAGATCTCTGAGCTCTTCATTAAAGCTATGATCCTGATCATGTTCTAACAGGCACGAAAGTCATTTTTTCCTGTCTGTGCTTACCTGGAACTGGTTGTCAAATCAGAATTGGAACCTTATTATGGAGTATATGATGCAACATATCACAATAGCTATGGATTAGCATCAGATCTGAGTTGAACGCACCTAGAAGAACAATGTGTCTTGACCTGCCATCAGAAAGGACGTCCAGCCCTTTCATAACTCAGACACATTTAAATGAGAGCAATATCTCAGTGCAGCATCAGAAGTTCTTGATGTACTTGTATTTTTCCTTATTTATTTCTTGTTTCTAGTTCTGTGCTTATTTCTAGTCGTTTTGCATGAAGCAGTCCACTAATCTGTGGGAATAGCGGAGATGAAATATGTTCATCTGATGCTGACTTTGAGGTTTATGTGGGAACCAGGATTACACCAGTCCTCCAAAATCGTATTTCTGAAGACACAAGCCTGAAGAAATATGATTGAGTCTTTCATTTTTGGCTCTAGCTCAATTAAAATGGAAAAGTCTGCAAACTGTTCTTTTGCAGAAAATCTGTTTTGGCTGTCAAAATATAAGAGTGAAAACATTTTTACCCTGTGGAAAACACATGACAATACAGAGACTTCTGTCCAAAATTTCCCTATTTATACACTGTGGAACTGTAATCCTTATGTGTAAGTGCTGATATTCAGAAATACTGCTTCTTCATGTCCTCAAAAGAAAAACAGCACTCCCACAGCTTTCTTCTCTATTTCTTTCTCTTCCCACACTCCTCACAGCGTAAGAGGAGCACTGAAGAATGCCTCACTGTCAAGTTCTAAGAGCAACCTCAGAGAAGTGAAATAATATGCTAAAACATATTGTCACATCTGCCATAGCATTTATTTTATTTTGACAATAACTTAGGGATATTTCTGTCTTCCTTCAGACATTCTTTTACTCTTTATAACATACTGCTTAGTCAAGTCATAACTGTTTGTGTTGGGGGATGACAGAATACCCATCTTTTCCACTGAAATGATGAAGAGCAACACATTGCTTTTCTAACAAGCTTCTCTTTAAGTGCTTGAACTCACCTTCAGTTAACCAATATTAAGGTAGCAAAAGAGAGGGAGGAAGGCTGTTGCTTTAACACTTAACTTGGAACAAAGGGAAAAATTATTGTCCTGCAAAGAGTAACTCTGTTTTTCTGTGCTGAAGAGACACTACTCTGTGAAGAATCTTTGTCTAAATAAAATGACCTTTATTGATTTAATTTAAAACTCTTTATTGTCTCAGCTCAAGTAATCAAATGGAACTGATACAGCTCAGAGGAGTTTATCACATTATCAGAGCATTAATTTCCTAGATGACTGGATCTTGGAATTACATTAAAAAGTTAGTTTTATCAGTTTTTAAAACAGGAATGGATTTCTGTAGGACCACTGTTAAAAATGCTTTTTTCCAGCAAACAATTTTTAAACCTGTGCACCCTTGTCTCCCATACTGAAGAAACCTCTAAAATATGTAGCTGTGGTGTGTATCTAGCCACTGGCACCTGGGTAAGCTCTCAAATAACAAAAGTTTTTCTTTAATAGCATACCTTGAGCTTTTACAAATCAGATACAGCTAAAATTCCCAAGAAACTGGCCTCCAACATCTGTACTCTCTTGTGCATTATGCTTTCTGGAAGACATGAACAGAGAGACACATATTTCCCTTGTATATTTCAGGGCAATTCTGCTCTGCTGCTTCATTTTCTCAAAAGTGACCATTACATAAATTAGTTTTACATTATTATTTTTCTGTTTGTTATAGGTCTTAGTAGTGCAGGTAAGTAGTGTTCGCTCTTTTTCTCTAATCTTTAGCTTGGTTGCTCATAGGGATAACCAAACTTTAAATGATGTGTTTCATCTAATGGTATCAAATTATTTACATGAATAAATTTCAGCTAGTCTCAACTATTTCTTTTAGATAGATTTTCATTTGACTCTGATTAAATACTAAATATACTCTGATTGCAGGGTAGAATTTTAATGGACGCTGAAATGCACCAAATGCGACTAGACAACATAATATTCCTCTCTTACCTTAAGTTTTAAGAATAACTACTGTCAGGAAAAATGTTCAGAAAAAAACTTCTTCCTCTCTCTCAATGAATTTTTCTTTTGTCTGACCCATCTACTCTTTTCATACCTTCTTACTATTTTCTCATGAAAAAAAATATTATTGCTGGTTCACCTAAAGAATTGTGAACACTGGCATGAAGACAAACATGTGCCAGCACAACTTGTATGCTTTCTCTTCAGAAATTGTCTCATTTTCCTCTTTGGGAATCAGAGAACAAATTTTACTTCTGATGAAACTGCCATCTAAAATGAAAGTTTGACTGCATTTATCTTTAAAAAGATTTAAGCAAGATTTATTTCTTATTTATCCAGAAAAACAGAATATCAAGGTTATGAGGAGCAGCACTGGGCACCAAATCACAATACAGCTGGAATGGTGTTGTCTGCTCCACTTGCAGTTTGGAGGCAGCTTAGTTATATTTTTCTGCCTCTGTTTTTCAATACACTGTACTTGCTGCATCATTATATTTTACTAATCGTCAACATATCAAATAAGGTATTTCTTCCACAGACAAACTGCATAACAGGCTTTATACCTGACGCTTTGCATACAAGACATTTGTGACTCTCTTTCAATACATGAACAAGAGGTCTATTGCTTCCTAGTCACCCCATACTCCCTGCAGGGTACACAGACACACATATTTTGATAGAGAAGTCTTAATCTTGGTACATGGTGCTAATTAGTCACATACCAACTGTACTTAACAAAGTCTCTGAATAGTCACTGCAAGTATGTGATATTTCCCCAAAAAGGAGATTGTTTAAAGAGGAGATCATTCTTTCAGGTTAGAAAATCTCTCATACACTGCCCTCAGTGGCCTTGATCCAAAGTCTATGAAGTCAACAGGAGGGTTTGCATCGAGCTCAGTGGCTTTGAATTGGGACCACAAAAAAATGCCAGTGGGAAAATTTGACCTAGTAGTTTATGGGTCTTAACAAGGAACTTGTTCCCTTAAGGGCTTTTAGCAAGAACATTGCTAAAGACATAAGCAGTCTCTTCTTCTCCTGAAACACCATGTAGAATGATCATTAGTTAAAAAGAAATATTCATGCATTTTCCAAGGCTTTGAGTGAATTTTGAACAAAAAAGCACAAGTATTCAAGTTGTTAAATTACTCTTTCTCTGATGTGTTCTCCACTGAATGTGTAGAGGTATGGCATTATCAATGGGGTTTTTAATGAGTCTACCTTATTGCTCACTTTTCACTGGTCATTTAATTATGGTAGTCTTGTTTCAGCCCTTAAGAGGACTGGAAAGTTTTAAGGATGGTCTATTAATGCTTCATAGCTTTACTTTACCTTTCTGTGGTCTACCAAGTGTTATCAACGTTTTGTGTGCTAAATTCATTTACTGGTCAATTTGAAAATTCACACTTATAAATGTTTCACCTTATTTCTTTTCATATATGCACCACATGGAATTAGCATGCCTAAACCTGATTTCAAGGACCAGCAACTGAGCAGAAATAATCTGGAAAATTGTGTGCTTCACAGGAAAAATTGACTTCACAACAGTAAATGGGGTTTGAGCCTTGCCAGAAATTTGGAACAGCTTTTGTAATATACCATTAAAAATAAAATAAAATAAAATAAATCAACCAACCTCAAATGATGTTGGATTTCTCTTCCATTTTTCTTTTAGATAGTTCTTTCCTAAGGCCTTTGCTTGACAGTCTACTTTTAGCTTAACTTCATATAGAGACTAAATAGTACAAATTGTTTAGAAACAATGAACTTTCATCCAAAAAACTCTGATAATAGAAACCTGAGATATGATACAGAGGAGTCTCAAACAGATATTCTTAGCTTTCCCATGCTGAAACATGTGTCAGATCATTTGTAAAGCTTAGGGCTCTGTACATTCAGTTATTGATTTCTTTTGCTTATCGCTATAACTCTTGCCCCAGTTGCCATTATCTTTACATTTTCTGGAATGTGGGTGTTACCGTGACCCAGCAACAAAATGATGTTTCTCTAAAGTGGAAGTGGAGCTTTAAGAGGCAGAGCTTTTCCAAAATGAGGTAGTGACAACAATAATAAACCAATTGTCTGCATCTCAAGGACTACAGACATAAGAAGAATCAAAACTTAAATGGCATAGTGGAAAAATTTTAAAAGAAATTTTCCTTTTCATATAGCATACCTTTCTACTCTAGAAATATGAACCATCTGTAGAAAACCCCTGAGAGAACAGCCATGGTGCAGATTGCCTAATAATGTCCTGGACCCCCTCCTATTTGCAATATGTCTCAGGCAATCTTTTTTCCTACGTACATTTCATGATCTCTTACACTAATTATTTGGAATTTATTTATAATAAATGCCTTATGTCTCTTTGCAGTGTGGCAAAGACTGAATGTTCACTGCTTTTGTGTGCCGCAGAGTGACTAATACAATAGACTTCCAGACAGAGAAGGATAAACCTTTGTGTTAAGAAGTGTTTACTTCAAAAAGGCAAGGAAATAAGAACAGAACTATATGGGTCAGACTGTGTGGCCAAATATATTTCCATCAGGGATGGTTTCATTTCTTATTTTGCTTACAACAAGAAACAAATAAAAAATGTTATTGGGACAACTTAAATTATCTTTGGATGACCTGTGATTTATTTAGAATCATGAGGCTTTTTGTCTGCTTGTTTATTTAACAATCATTACTTACTGTAATAATTTACCTTGGATTTTGAGAAAGACTAATAAACCATTGTCTTTTGGCTATTTTTTGTAATGTTAACACCAAGAGAAAGTCTGAGAAAAAGGGTTTTTTCCAAACAACCTTTTACAGATTGCTTGTAAGAAACATTACATATGCTAAAAATGCCTAAGAAGCCATTAGCTTCCTATGAGAAGAGATGAAACATTGACATCTCCTCTTCCCAGAGTATGAGCAGAATATAAAGCACAGGCATATTTATAGTATATTTTATGGCAAATCTGTGACATCATACTGTTTTTTTGACTATTTTGATTTTTCTGGAATCCTTTTGGCTGTTATCTAATCTGAATTTGGACTGTTACTAGAATCAGTCAAACTCTGACACCGTGTCTCTGGAAAGACATGAGAGCAGTTTTACATACTGTCATTCCATACATTGTTTCTATTCAATGCTTTTCACTATCTGAAATGCCTGTTTAATTTTTGTTCTTTTCATGAGAATAGTAGTAGTAGACAGAAGAGAACCTATGGTTTACTTTTCTTATCCTAACATAATGCTGTTCTTTTTGTTTCCACAAGCATTTCAATGCTTTGAAAATGATGTTATGTTATAGAAATAAGAAATTTTTAATTCCTAATCTGTATAGTTTTTTCTGAAAACAACTGCCACAATTTGAATGTGGTTGACATTTTTGCTCCTCGTTAAAAGTAGAATGGAACATTAGTAGTCGAGGCACAACACAGAAGATACCCGGTGACTGGCCTAAAGCACCTCTCTCTGGGGCTGAACACCTCACAAGCCACATGCCCTTTCATCCCA